TTATTGAAAAAAAAGAATATCTATTCCCTTTCTCTTTGGTAATTTTCTGAGGTTGATTAAAGACAAGGTGATTTCTGAAAATGTAGTATCAAAATGCCATTTGTGTTGAAGTTTAAATAGCACTTCATTTGAGAGATTATGAATTCTTACATAATTTCTAGATTTTTTTCCTTCTCTTTTTTCTTACTATTGCCTACATTTATCTCCAGAATGTTTTAATATTTATTTATTCATTTATTTATGCATCTGAGACAAGACTATTAAATGTTCTGTGCTGGGGCTCCTATATTAACCATTTCTAGGTTTAATATTAAAAAGAAATATTTTAAAATGGAATAGTCTCAGATATTTTCATATTAAATCAATGACCACTTTTTTGCTGTGAACTACCATTTTCTTTTTCATAAGAAAGCTTATTTATTAGATATCTCACCAGAAACATACTTTCTGTAAGATTATCCCATATATATGTGCATGTATATGTGTTATTGTGATTTATTGTTTACGTGTAATCATTGTTCATCTGTGTGTTGTGCAGTATGGTTTTCCCAAGCATGCATGCAGCGTATATTTTTTCCAACATTTACTTTTTATAAAACATGTTTTTGCCTTAGGGTGTATACACTTCCTGGAGACAGAGAGAGACAGAGATAGTGAGAGGGAAAGTGAGAAATCATCTTCCAGGAGGGTATGGTTATGCCCCAATCTCTTCTCCTCCATTCTGCCAATATCTTGGGCATGCATGCACAGGTGCTCAGAGTGATTTTCAAGCCTTCAAGTCCAGGATTCAAACTGTGATAGGTCATGTGGGAGTCCAGTGACATAATTGTTATGCCATGTGCTGGCCCCAGTTTTTTCAACATTAAATATTCTATTATGTTGTGCACATCCTATAGAAGTTCTACAGTGTTTTTTTTTTTTTTTCTTTTTTTGGGGGGGAGAGTGTATGTTGAATTGTCAATAACAGTATTTTACTGTGCTGTGTGTGGTGGTACAGTTTTATAATCTTTTCCACTTGTTTGTATACATTATTTTGATTTAAATTTATAAGTATAATAGAAAAAATTTTACTAGAGTTACTTCTAGCCCTGAAAATTATTGAGAAAGAAATCTTCACGTTGATCATGTAAAGCTTGTCTTTAGAGTAATCCCTGTGTGATTATGATGGTATCAAAACATTTAGGACCAGAAAATGGGAGAGGGTGGAGAGTGGGAGAACTTGGATAATGGCTACAGTAGTGAATTTAAATACGTGGAAGGGGTTGTAGAATAGTATAGCACAGTAAAGAACATTGGTGACAATTTAATAAGTGTTTTCAGATGGTAATTTCAAATGTACATAATACAAAGTAACAATAAATACCAGAGATGGTTAAGTATCTTTATTTCCTTGCTTGATTATTACACACTGTATACACACTTTGAACAACCACACTGTATGCCACAAAGATATACCACTATTGTATAAAAATCAGAAATTACAGTAAAATTTAAAAAAATCTGGAGTAGCTACAACTAAGGCCAAGAAGGACTCCATCTAGTGGTTACACAGATCTGGTGCAGCCTAATTTGACAAAGTTGTTCTGAGCAGGGGTTGATACTCAGATGCCTACAGGGGCCAAAACAGATAATAAAAATGGGAGAAGTTGCAGGGGTAGAGAAAAATTGATTGCTGGTGTAGAGCCCATGTTCTCCATTTTTATAGAACTATTGGTATGTCGTGAGCACATATCATAAAGTAGAAGATATAGAAGGATATATTTTAACACAGAATGGAAAGAAACATACAAACTCTATTATTAGGGGCCCTGGGACTGATGAATTCTACAGAAAAACCACATAACTGTTTCTTGGGTTCAATTCATTGTTGCCATTAAAGAAGATAGGCGCCCTGCTAGACTTTCCAATTTCCCAAGAAAATCTAGAATTCTAAATTTGTATATGAAGCCTACTGTATTTAGTACATAGGCTCATGTTTTAAGAAGCTGTTAGTTCTAATGTAAATACATCTTGGGGTCACATTTGGCCTGCCACCTGCTATTTTCAAAAAAGGTCTTGAAGTTCTTCATCTCAGTTTTTTCAAAGGTCAGAAAAGTCGTGGGCACTTCCAGCAACATTGTGAAGTGAGACTGCACTATAGCGTTGCTGAGTCATTGCTAGATTGGTCTGGGTTGGAGATTATTTTTATTCGACAACAGGCATTGTTGAAGGTGCTGAGGTTACAACTGTAAAAGAGGCAAACTCCTCTTCTTGGTCTCTCAGTGCTCACTTAAATGAGCCACCCAGAAATGGAATCACAGTAGTACGGTCACTTTCAGCAGGGATCAAATACTGAGATGTTTACATGTGACTTTCAGGTGTTTATCTGGGTTCTTGAGCTCCATATAGAATTTAAATTCATGATTTATATTATTTTGGTGTACTTTAATCACTTGTTTTCAGTTACCATGGTACAGAACAGTAAGATATTTTGAGACAGAGAAATCACATTTATATAATACTTTCATTAATTATTGTTTATCATGAATGACTTTTTTTTTTTTTTCTGAGAGGTTTTTGCTATAGGGCCCATGCACTCGCCAGAAAGACAGAGAGAGAGAGAGAGACAGAAAGTTAGAAATCGCCTTTCAGGGAGGATGGCCACACCACAATCCCTTCTCCTCCTTTCTCCTCTCAGGATCTTGGGCATGCATGCACATGCACCCACATGAGTTTAAGCCACCGGGTCCAGGACTCAAACTGCTGTCGACTGCATGGGAGTTCAGCAACATAGCCATTACACTAACTGCCGGTCCCTCATGAATGACTTTTATTAGTTACTGCGGTTAGTCTCTTACTGTGCCTAAAAATGGATAAATTAAAGTTTACCCTAGGTACGTACATATAGGAAAAAAACAGAGTATATGTAAATTCAGTATTATCGGTAACTTCAGGCACCTAAGGAGGTTTTAGGACATGTTTCCTGCAATAAGGGGATGACTACATCTTTCCTGCAACTTTTGGCTGGGCAGCTTAGGAGTTCTCAAAACTTTGCACTCAATTGTAGTTTGCAGTATATGGAAAAATAAAACACAGAGATTTTAAAACATTTTCTTTTGCCAAAGCATTTAACCTTGACCACATCTTTCCTCATCTACACAGAGGAAGTGAACAAATAAGAAAAGGAAAAATGGTCAGGACTCAGGACTCTTTGAACTTGTTCAAAAAGTAGAAGAGACAGTGAAATGAAAGGAACCACAAATAGCTGTGTGGCCTAATTTCTTGTCTCAAGCCTCCTCTGTTCGTTCTCTCCCTCAGTCACCATGAAAGGCAAGCCAGCGTCCTCTCAGTTGCCCACCAGGCCCCTGCAGACCCTTAAGCTCCTTGACCTGACCTGCAACTTCCTTCTCACTTGTTCCTTCTCCAGCCTCCTGGTCTCCTTGCAGTTCCTTGAAGCATCGTGTATAATCCCCAGTTCACCTTTTTACTGCTGTTCCCTCTGCCTGTAATAGTGTATTTGCGGATAATTTTTTATTATCAACTTCTGCATGTCTTGGCTAAAGTGTCACTTCTTAATGAGATCTACCCTATCTCTCAACAAGAATTACAGAATTACATCCACCTCTCTTTTGCTCTACCCCTCTCCCCTACAGAGTTGATAATTTTTTGACAGAATATATAATTTATTTATTATGGTTTATTGTGTTTCCTCAGCCAAAATACAAGTATGAGAATGTAGAGAACTTTTGTCTTGTTTAGTGATCGGACGTATCAGAAAACAGTGTCTGGCATCTAACAGGTACCCATTACATATTTTTCAAGTAAAAGATTGTCAAACTAGTTATTTGCGTCTGAATATAGTCTCCACAGTCTGCAGTCATTTCCCATGAAAAGATTTCTTGGAACAAATTATGTCATGTGTGGGCTTATGTTCTATTTTGCCTTTATCATGAGAAGTGGCAAAAACATGTTAAGAGGAGAGCGAGATTGGTATGTTTGGTCACCAAAACATGTTAGAAGTAAAAAGAAGCATGTGTGTATTTTATCCAAATTTAGAGGGAAATCCCTGCATATAAGTAGCATAAAAATGATAAAAAGTAGTTGAGTTAAGACAGTAGGAAGAGCAAAAACTGTGAGGTCAGAAGACTTGTGATAGTATCTTGGCTGTACACCTACTAGTTATCTGACCTAGGCTAGCTGTTTATGAGCTCTGAGTCTCAGTTATCTTATCTTTAAATGGGAATGACGATACTAGAATCTGTCTTATTGGCCTTGTGAGTATAGAGTGGTAAGTTTTTTCTTCACATGTACTTGTTTCCTTCTCCAGTTAACCCAGTGTGTGTAAATTTGTAATTTTTCTTTTCACTTAATAGATTCAACCTTTAGAATATAAGCTCCACAGGAGCTAGTCTGTGTCTTTCTTTTCTAATGTTGTGTTCCCAACTTTAAATACCATGTTTGGGGACCAGAAAATGGCATAATGGTTATGTCGCTGGACTTCCTTATGGTCAACAATGGTTTGAGTTCTGGACCCGGTGGCTTAAACTCATGCCAGATGCATGTGCATGCGTGCCCAAGTTCCCAACAGGAGAATGGAGGGGAAGGGATTGTGGCATGGCCCTCCCCCCCTGGGGTGTGATTTCTTGCTTTCTATCTCTCTGTCTCTCCAGCGAGTGCACACACCCTATAACAAAATATCTAAATAAATAAATATGTACATAGATACATACCATGTCTGGTATGTAACAATTGCTCAGAAAATATGTTGAAGAATGAATAAGCAAATTTAAACCATGAAATTCATATGACATAGCAATAGTAAGTTGGTTTGTAATCAATTATTGTAATACAGATATATGTTTATTGTCACCATGTAAGTCATTATCATCATCATCAAATATGTATTTTACTCAGACTTCTTTAATCTGTTCCCAGGAGGGTGATCATCTTCTCATGTTATTGCCTTGACTTGGAAGTCTAGTGAAATAATTCAGGATCCTGATTGAATGGTTTCATTATAGGTCTCTAAGCTGGCAGGCGTTTTGGTCAAGCATGGCATCAAGAAAGGTGACACTGTGGTCATCTACATGCCCATGGTCCCACAGGCGATGTATACCATGCTGGCGTGTGCAAGGATAGGAGCCATCCACAGTCTCATCTTTGGGGGATTCGCATCCAAAGAACTAAGTAGTCGCATTGATCATGCAAAGGTAAGTGCTTTATTTGGAGCGATAGCTACCAATATTTATCTATAGCCATATTTATCTGTAGCTTAATCATCTAAGAATGAACTGTACTTGCTAAATCTTCATTTCAACTGGGATACTTAAAATATACCTTTTCTGGGAACTAGCAGTTAGTGTAATGGCTATTTCACTGGACTCCCACGTAGTTGACTGCGGTTCGCGTCCCGGACCCAGTGGCTTAAAACTCACACAGGGTGCGTGTGCGTGCATGCCCAAGATCCCAAGAGGAGAATGGAGAAGGGATTGTGGCGTGACCATCTCCCCTGGAGGGTGATTTCTCGCTTTCTGTCTCTATGTCTCTCTCTGTCTGTATCGCACATTGAATTTTTTGACAATCCTATGTAAAAGATATCATGCTAGGTCCTTTGACACTTAGCAGAGTATCTGGCATATAGTATTTATTTTCAGATGTTAACCATAATTATTTAGTGATTTCAAGCAGAAGTCAGCAATTTTTTTTCTGTGACTACATAGTAAATATATCATGCATTATGGATTCTATAATCTGTCTATGAGCTCTGAGTCTCAGTTATCTTATCTTTAAAGAGCAGTTACTCAAAAGCAGCCTTAGATAACACATAAGCAAATAGGCATGTTTTTATCCCAGTAAAACTTTACAGAAACAGGCTGTGTGCTGGCCCTGGCTCATAAGTACAGGTTTGTAGACTCACTCAAGTTTGCAGCATTTTCTTTCTTTCTTTCTTTCTTTTTTTTGGGGGTGGGGGTGGGGAGAGGGTTTTGCTATAGGGCGTGTGCGCTCCCCAGAAAGACAGAAAGAGACAGAGAGACAGAAAGTGAGAAATCAACCCCCAGGGGGGATGGCCTCACCTCAGTCCCTTCTCCTCCATTCTCCTCTTGGGATCTTGGGCATGCACGCACATGCACCCCGTGTGAGTTTAAGCCACCGGGTCCAGGACTCAAACCATGGTCGGCTACATGGGAGTCCAGCAACATAACCATTATGCCAACTGCTGGTCCCGGAAGGAGCATTTTCTTTTAGTTCAGGTAGCATAAGAGGGTTTCCTAAAGGAAGTAAGATTTGATTTAGATCTTGGCTAGATTCAGCTAGGTAAAGAGAGTGGTGAACATAGTGGAGTACAAAAGGGGATGAAAAAATAAGACTCAAGCACTAGAGACAGAAAAGGATAAAACTTACTCGGAAGGGCAGTGATAGACTGTTGTGAGCGGAGGAGAAAAGGTGAACTTGCAAAGGTAGGTTCTATCTGAATTGGATTGTGTATATTTTGACCAGTCAAAGTTCTTAATAGAATAATGTTTAAATAATGTTAAGAGAAGGCAAGTCTTGCAGTATGACCTGAGTGGTAGAAAGGCTAGATGCTAAAATAAGAGCCTTAGATAGGCCATTTGTGAAGCAATGAACAATGGGAAGAATAACTGTTGGAAGATTAGGGAAGGAAAATCCTTATCAGATAAGAGACAGATAAGAGACAGTTGACATTTAGGCCTTTACAAGCCCAACAGGAAAAGGAATTAACATATGTTCAGGGTCCACTGAATGCCAAGCATAGTGTAGATTTTGCCTTTCTCACTGTATATAGTAATTGATTGATCACTAGAACTAGGGAACTGATTTGTGGAGTATACAGTTGGGTCTTCTTTCTTTTCTTTTTCAAACATGTTGAGTTAGTACTTAGGAAGCAAATCTGGGGGGAAATAACAGTCACTGGCCTCCAAATCAGTTGGAGGTTGGGGACTTCTTTGACGAAGCAACAGACTCCATTATTTTAACTACAGAAATACTGAACACTATTAAGACAGATGCATCATTTCCTTAAAAAAAATTTTTAATAAGATATGGGGAAATGAAAATATTTATAAAATAGGGATTTATGAAATTTATGCTATACCACTTAGGGAGTTTTCATTCCTAATATACACATGTTCAAATGCATAACCTTATTAAGGAATTTAGGCAAAAAATCTATATTATTATGAATAAAGCCACCAGATAATATTCAAAGAGAGAAGATGAAGATTGAGATACAAATTTGAGATATTTGGATAAAATTAATAATTGAAATTTTTGAGATACACATCTGAGATATTTGGATAAAATTAATAATTGAAATGAGGAATGATTTTGACAATATTTTCAAATAAAAGGCTAAAGAAAATATTTTAGTACACAACGATGGGGAAAAAATGTATTCTAACAAGTTAGTCTCAAATAAATTCTCCAATAAAAGTGTGTTGATAGAAATAGGAAAGATTTTTCCAGAGGAAGAGTCTGATTTTGACCTTATTAAGTTATTCATATTAATCACTATACCACCCACCAGTCACTGTACAGACATTCTTACTTTGATATGTAGCTTATTTTTATTTACTCAGAATTTTAATCTTAGGGAAAGTTTTCTAGAACTATTTTCATAAGTATTAGATATAAAAATGTGAATTATATTCATATGTCTGACCTTTAAAAAATAATGAAAACAACCAAGATTCGTTTTTCCTCCCTTTTTTTTTTTTGTAAAAAGCAGTTTAATATGATGAAAAGTGAAAAATTCTGCAATCACACAGCATTGGTTCTCTCTGCCTCCACCTCCTGTAACCTGGGGCTAATTATGTATCTGTACTGGACTCTAAGTTCTATGAATTATAATGATATTCAAAGAGCAGAAAGCATATACTGTATGTGCATATATTTGACACCTTTCCAGATAAACCATATTCTAACCAGAAATGAGAATTCAGGATTAGATGCAATACCTTGGATTGATTATCTGTTTACTGAATATTTAGTGTCTGTTTGCTTTTGACATTTCTATGAAGAAATAATGCACTTAAAATAATTAAAATATGTTTTTATTCCTGCAAATTAATGAGAATTTTGATTCAGTCCTGTATTTATGACAGTTTAAAGTGTGGCAAGCACTGTTCCACATGTAGGCAATAGTACAAAACATGGCAGCTACCTTTGACTTTGAAGAGCTTACTCAGCAGTCATGGAGCTGACTTAACACTTTGTCATCACACATCCGAGGCCTACCCAGAATGTACCAAAGAAGGGAGGTTAATCCAAACTGCAGTCCCCTCTGGGGACACCTTTTGGCCACAGCTGTGCATAACCAGCAGATTGTCAAGTTGTCAGGGAAAGAATAGTGCCAAGTATATCTTCTTTTTTTAGAGAGTGTTTTTGCTATAGGTTGCGTGAACTCACGAGAGACAGAAAGCGAGAAATCACCCCACCAGGAGGAATGGCCATCCCACAGCTACTTTTCCTCCAGTCTCTTCTCAGGATCTTGGACACACATACACATTCGCACATGTGCACATGCGCCCAGTATGAGTTTTAAGCCTCCAGGTCTGGGACTTGATATGAGGTTACCTGTGTGGGAGTCCAGCTATATAACTGTTATGCCATCTGCTGATCTCATGTATCTTAATGACAGGAACAGGTCCAGGCCTTGTGGACTTGAAACTTAAATAATTTGGAGATACTTCAAATAAATACTTTAGAATAGCAATATAATATTTTGTGAACACAAATATATATATTTAGAATAAGAGAGTCATAAAACTATGATTGCAGATTTGGATCCCTTCATTCTGAAACCTGTTTAGGCATTTATAAGTCATGTTTACATAGGAAACCTTAGAAATGCTTTCTAATTGTAACCAGGCTGACCTTTTCCACCTAAAAATTGTGTGTCCCTGTTTCATATAGACCAAATATCTGCACTTATAGCAGAAACTTACAGCAGAAAGATTGGAGGATATGATAGCAGGGAGGGCAACTGCAGCTACTGGAGACAGCACAGGAGGAGGATGGGTAACAGGGAGTAGGAAGGAGGGATCAAGGAAAAAAGACCACACCATTTAATAGATGGAAGATTCATTTGGTATGCTACATGATACACAGTGATTTAATGTATAAAATTTAATTTTAAAAATTAAAAATAAAACATATGTCCATACAAATAAAAAATAGGTATAGTAATGAAAAGTTATCAATGTATGTGGTAATTAATGTCTTTGACCTCACTGATATGCACTGTATTCATGCTGGGAAAAACCTTGTTGTATACTGACTAAAGATGTGCATTAATTAAATGTAAGAAAAAAAAGGAGAAGAGAAAAAGGGGCTTGAGCCTCAGCAACGACCAGCTCTTATAGGAGCATCTACAAGTGAGGGCCCCAAAGTCTGCCTTTCCCTGGCTAATGACAAATTCACCTGGTTTAATGAACTCTTTGAATATATTTTGTGCAGTTCATACTTACGCACAAAAGCTTCATTAAACATGCAGTTTTGAATAGGTAAGTGCTATTTATGTGGAAGTGGTTATGTGGAAGTGGCTTAAAAGTACTTATTGGTCTTTGGGCTATTTATTCAATATAGAATGAAATCATTCAGACATTTCTTTGAAAGTGTTAACCTGCCAGTCTGCACCTGACATATTGTGATTACCTTAATTAGGACTGTTAAAAGTTTCCTCAATTATTTTTTTGTATTACAGCCTAAGGTGGTGGTTACAGCATCATTTGGCATTGAACCTGGAAGGAGAGTGGAATACATACCTCTTTTAGAAGAAGCACTAAGATTAGGACAACACAAACCAGACAAAGTTCTTATTTATAATCGTCCAAATATGGTAATCTTAGTATTGAATTTGGTTTTTGATTATGGGAATGTGCTTAGGATGATTTTAGTTTTGACCATTTGTAAAGAGACACTTGGCTTATGAACTATTAAATATACTACCTGAATGTCATTGTTATATCTGAGGGGGAAAAAAAAAGAGATATAAAATATATTTAACTGGGGCCAGCAGATGGTGTGGTGGTTAAGGGTGCTGGACTCCTACATGGTTAACTATGGTTCAAGTCCCAGACCTGGCAGTTTGCTTTCTCACTTTCCTTCTCTCTCTCTCTTACTCGGTCCATCTCTGTTCAAATTAAAATAAATAAATAAAGTTAAATACATTGTTTCTAAAAAGATATTTAACTGACTATAAGAAACTCGCTTAAAGCAAAAAGATTGAAATGCAAAAATATATACGATAGTAACCAATTTTCTATATGTAATACCGTTATTTTTTTAAAATTATTTTAAACTATAACCATAATAATGCTAACAAACATTTATCGACTACTCATAATATAATGTTTAAGACACTCTACTGTAGATCTTTACTGCTGACTCTGTGATCTTAAGAGGATCACCCTTCTTTCTCCAGCCTTTCTCAGCCAGTCAGGATCCCAAACACATGTGCCAGATGCCTTCAGGTTGACCTAGGAATTGAACACCAAACTTTCATATGACTTCCAGCACTGAGGAGTGTTCCATGATAGCCATGCCACTGCAGCTAGGCCATATTCATTCCTATCTGAAAGAGAAGGAATCCAATGAACTTAAAGTAACTTGTTCAGTTAGTGAATGCCAGGGTCAGGATTTGAATGTGTGCACGCTGACTGCATCCTTAATACCTCAGCTCTCTCTAATCTTAGGGAGGTATGATTGATTGGTATGCAATATACTTTTTGAAAAATTTAGAGAAGTTCTTAGGCCAGAAATAACACCATCTCCAGGAAAACAAAGCATGAATATTCCAAACAGATAAATTATTCTGTGATCCATGAAGGAAGAAAAAGCAGTATAATATATCAGCAAGTACATTTTACAGTAATTTTCTTAGTAACTTTAACCTGATGATCACTTTACTACTAAGCCCAAGAAAGGCTGAATATTTATGGTGGCACCAACTTGACTTTCTAGCAGATTAAAAAAAAAGTTTTTTTTTAGAACAGAAATGACAAGAGTGCAAAGAATCATGTACAATTTTGTGGAACTCTTGAAAAGTTATCTGCAGAAAATACTTAAATGTCAAGATATGAGAGCAGAGAGTGTTAAAGCTATGTCATTCTGGTCACTAGCTAGCAATTCTCATTACCACATTGAATTCTTGGGTAAAGTTTTAGTAGTCTGTGGTTCATGAACTGCTGCACTCAGTGGCTTTAATGTTCTTACTGTCTTGAAGAAAAATTTTAAGTTTCTTTGAGATGACCTCAAGCATATTTTAAACAGGGCTTTGTTGCTGTTTAACTCAAGGAATGTAGAGTCAGCAGTAAAGGCAGCTTTGCTTCAGAGCAAGTGTTTATATGACTATATGGGTGCTGTTCTTACACAAATATGGATTCATATGGCAAGTGTAAAGAATTTCACTTGTGCATGCCCAATGCTAACCACTTCCTAACAGCTTTTCTTACTTAAGTTTCACAAATCAATGAAGTAGATGCAACTAGTAGCCCAATTTTACAGAGGAAGACACTGAGTAACAGAGAGGTCATAGTCCAGAGTTCCAGCTAACAAATGGTGGAGTCAGGATTTGAACTCCAGTAAAGTGATTTTTAACCAAGGAGACCCATGTTTTTTATTTTACAGTAAACATAGCACATATTCACATTGATGAATGATATTCAGATTGTCCTAAGGCAAGTCTCTTTCTTTCCTTTTAATAGAGACCCACTACCAACCCTTTGCCATGTAACTAGCTCACTTTCTCTGCCTCTCTCTTTTTCTCCAGACATGTTATTTTGACATAGATGAGAGCTTTAGCCATCTCTTGTCCCTTGTATTATACCTGTTGTTTAGGCAGTAATTAAGCCCAGTGGATTGGATTTGCTTTCAGTTTGGAGAGACACAAATTATGAAACTCAGTGGTCTGTCTCATTAACTGCGATTGCATTTTTGCCAGAGGAAGTAAAAACTTGGCAGCCACTCCTTTGCCTGAGGCAAGCAATGACACAATCAAAGGAACAGCACATCAGTCACTGCTGGTGCTTTCCCAATAGAGCCCTCCTGTCTCTGTTCCGCAGGTGTCCTCAGGAGACTGGTTCCTTCACTCCCTGCTGATAGCACATTCAAGTCCCATGTATAAAATGATCTGGTATCACATATAACCTATGTATTATACAGCCTCCGCTAACCTATGTATTATATAGCCTCCGCTATACCTTAGATCATCTCTAGATTACTTTAAAAACACAATACAATGAAAACACTATGTAAATACTTGTTATACTGTATTTTCATTTGTATTATTTTTTGTTGTATTTTTTATTCTTTTTTTTGAGAATATTTTTGATCTACATTTTCAGCTGAATCTGTAGATGTAGATCTCACTGATAGAGAGGACTGTCTGTGCTGTTTTTTTAAAAAATTACAACAACTAGGAAAGCCTTGTCTATAAACACAAATGCATATGTAAGAATACAAAATAAACCCAGTCTCAGTGGCCCAGTCGTAAGCATACTGAAACTACAGTGCTGGAAGCCACATGGTCTACTATGAGTTTGGATCCCCATCACTGAAAGCACACTGAGTATGCCAGGATCCTGATGAGCTGGAGGGCCATAGGAAGGGATTGGGGCATGAAGAGATCCTGTTCTGGGAGCCCCTCTCTGTCTTTCTGTCCGTCTTGCTCACTCAAGTATGTGTACCTACTCGCTCATGAATTAGAAAAAGAAATGTTGATCAGATCTTCTTTACATACGCCTGTATTTCTCGATCTGAAAAATAACCATTCATTCATTTCATTAGAGGCCTATAAAAAACCATCCACCTATGGGGCTGGCAGGTGGTGAGGTGGTTAAGGGAGCTGGATTCCCACATGACTGACCATGGTTCGAGTCCTGGACATGGTGGCTTGCTTTCTTTCTTTCCCTTTTTCTCTCTCTCTGGTAAAATTTAAAATAATAATAACAAATGGAATTAAATAAATAAATATTTAAAAAATAATAATTGATCTATATTTTTGTGATCACTCAGCTGACATTTTTATTATGTAGTACAGTGATTATAGTTCTCTGATTGGGATGTCAAAAGTTTGATCATTTCAAATTAATTATTTTTATCTGATGCATAAAAATAAATAGAAGCATGATTTGGTCAGTTAACTGTTTTTAATCTATCTAAATGGCAGAGCGAGTGCCCGTCAGAGTGATCCTGGAGAGGCTACTTGGGCCTAAAACTTCACTTGCCTCAAGGATTCAGATTGTAATCTATAAATGTGTTTATTCATAAAGTCATAGTATATGTGATACTGTGTTGAAGTATTAATTTGTAAATGTACCCACTTAAATCCATGACCTGTTTTTACAATCCTGATTAATGTATTGAGAAACCTGGAAAACAGAAGGGGTTTTTCTTTTGAACTCTCTTAGGTTCTTTGGGCTTAGTTCAGGGATCACACTGGTAAAATAAATGGTTATTTACATTTCTATATGATAGATCTCATTAACTTTCAGTGAGGAGTGTGTAGCCCTGATTAAACCTCTGCTGACATGTTCACCAAATGTGAACTTCCTGTGTTGTCCTGAGTTTAGTAAAGGTTTCAGAAGATAACTGGACATTTAGAGTATTAACTCTACTCAAAAAATGAAGAGGGAGAGCATCAAGAGGAAGAAGAAAGAAGCAAAACATTTAAGGGACATAAAAATGGAAAATTATCCGGTGATGAGAGTGTGTATTATAATATCTTTGACTGAACCAACATGCAGCCTATTCATAATGGGAACATTCATTTGGTATGTTGTGATGATATACAGTGATTGAATGTAAACAAAAAATAAATATAAATTTAAGGAGCAAATACCTAATAAACCAACCAACCAAACAAAAATCCAATGAACAGTAACCCCATTAAAGTAACTTTTCCATGAGTCGTTTCCATACTGTTCACCTTTCTGACCATTTTATTGCCACTGTTTTAAAAGGGATCTGTTTAATTTATGTAAAAGTACATCTCTTTAATTCATGACTCTATTATGATAGTTTGCAGACCAGAGTCTGGTTCTTAGACCACCACTAACCAAAAAAACCCAAACATTTCTACTACATTAATTAAAGTCCTAGAATAAAGAAAACTTGGATAATATTTTATATATGGCATATATGCTTGTTAAACTTCAAAACTGTTTTTTTTGTTATTGAAAAAAAGTTCCCTCATTTGGAAAGGTAGCTGCAGTATTAATCCTAAATGCCCTTGTATAAAGAGAAATTTTAATGAGCTCACATTTTATTGTGAAGATTGTATTTCCAGTGAAGAAGAACTAGGTTATGAAAAACAGAAATTAGTTTATGATGCTAGTAGTATACATTGCTTATGGGAACATGGACCTCTGCTAGTTCAGCAGTGAGTGTTCATGAAAACATAACTGCATCTGATTTAAAGTGTTATGAATATCTAGATTGAATTTCTTTTCTTTGTTTTTTTTGGAGAGGTTTTTGTTATAGGGCATGTATGCTCACCAGAAAGACAGAAAGAGACAGAGACAGAAAGTGAGAAATCACCCCCCAGGGGGGATGGCCACGCTGCTATCCCTTCTCCTCCTTTCTCCTCTTAGGATCTTGGGCACGCATGCACACGTGCCCGGCGTGAGTTAAAGCCACTGGGTCCGGTACTCAAACCGCGGTCGACTACATAGGAGTCCAGCGACATAGCTATTACACTAACTGCTGGTCCCTGTAGATTGAATTTCTTGAGGGCATCCCTCATTTGAGTAAAATGTGTTCTTTTATCAGCTCAGTTACAGCCCATGTCAAACTGCAAGACTTTTTATCAACATGTAACCTATAACCTTGAGATTTTCATTATATGTCCTAAATCTAAAGCATTTAATTTGGATCTGGATTTTCAATTAGCAGCTCAGATTCATATAGATTTTGTTACTCTCTTTTGTCCCCGTGACTTAATATCATTTTAACAGTGCATATTCCTGTGTTTTTGCTGTGTAGGAGGCGGTTCCTTTGACTCCAGGTCGTGATCTTGATTGGGACGAAGAGATGGCGCAAGCCCAGTCACATGACTGTGTTCCTGTTCTTTCAGAACATCCTCTGTATATTCTTTACACATCTGGAACAACAGGATTGCCTAAGGTATGTGTTTTCTGAGGGATAACTCTCTAGCCGTATAATCTTTTGCACTGAGAATATTTGATCACCAAATATTTGAAATGTTTACAGATTGTACCTTGAGGTCTAGAGAGAATTTAAATCTTAAAGAAAATTTGCGCTTAATTCTAAATATAGAAAATATTTTTAGTGTCAAATGTTTTGCCCTAATTACACCTAGCATCACCACAAATACCAACAATATACAATTGCTGTAGTAAATTGCTGAAATGAATAGGTATTAAGTTAATATAATGCGGTTTAATAAAATTTTATAAAAATATATATTTTTTATTTTGAAGAATTTTTTTGAATGAACTTTATTTTTTTCATTTGGCTGGGGATGGGGATAGAGAAAAAGAAAGAGAGAAAGCAAGTTGCCAGTTCCATGACTTGAACTATGGTTGTCTATGTGGGAGTTCAGCGCCCTCAACCACCATACCACCTGCCGGCCCCTATAAAAATATATTTTAAATGATTTTTTTAAACTTGAGACATAGCCTCCATAGAATATAGAATTGATTTTTAGTCTTGAGAAATTCTATTCTTTGTTATAAATGTGAGTTTGAGAATAAGCCTAGATAGTTTAAACAAGAGGCAATTTATCCAGAAGATTGAATTCTTTGATTTACAGCATGGAAGATACTTAAGGATTTTTAAATCTGTTTACTTTAAAGGTATTTTCTCAAAGCAAAGTTAAAATCATCAGTATTTATGTATATGTCAAAAATCAAAAAATATCCCTTTTGCCTGGTAATCTCAAAATAATGCTATTTATTCTCACAACTTTGTAAAGACGTGCAATATCATCTTCCTTATTCTTCTTGATTGAGAGTTTAATATTCACTGGATCATACAATTTTAATGGGATAGAAGAATCTCACACTCTCATCCTTCAGAGTCTATCAATGAATATTAAAGCTACATAGCATTAGAATTCTAAAAATATAATCTTAAAATAATCTGTTAGATTAGATTTTAAAAAGGAAGTTTAAGATATTTCATATAAAACTTACTTGCCCATGAAAAGGAAAATGTTTGGTGGGAGAATATATTCTAAGGATAGAGACTGTTTTATTACATTTTGGTCTTTTATTGTACTTTGTATGTAGTTGATATATAATGCATTTTTACTGAATGCATAAATATATAGCTGCATATACATGAGATTCTTGTGTCATTGTAGAGGTGAAGCCTTAATTATTTTACAGCTCCAGTCATTTGAAAAGTAAATATTTCTTCATATTGAAGACTTTAAGATTTGTTTGTTTAAACAGTTCAAACATTTTGCTTGGCGACAATTCTCTCTACATTTTGCAATTCTGTGTCACATACCAATAACATGAAGTCCACTGAACATTAGGCTATAAAATAAAGATAGAGTCAGCAATGTTATAATCTAATTTTAAGTATCAGTACAAGAGGAAACCTCTGGCCCTGAAAACAGTATAACCTAACCAAATAAAAAATGCCAGAAAAAACCTACTTTAGTTCCTTAAGAGCCTGAAGGAATCTTAGAAAAAACATTTGTGCCACATCTAGACTTTAAATCACTCTGAAATTCACTGTGACCTGGATTAGGATCTGTATGGAAAGTATAGAAGAAAATCTTGTTAGAAATTCAAAGCTGACTCAGCCAGTGTGGAAGAAGTAAAATGAAAGTAATGTATAGAGCATTATCTTTAAAAAGTGATGGTTCAAATAAGCAAGGATCCTACTTACTCCAGATTTTCTCTGGGTCACGACATTATTTCTCAGATTCCTCCTAGTGCCTCAAGCTGAAAATCCTTTCATGAGCACGCCATCCTCATTTCTCTCTCTCTCTCTTTTTCCCATAGAGTGCATGCCCTAGTTGGAGAGAAATAGAGACAGAGAGAGGTAAAATGTGAACTCACCCCCCCTAAAGGGGATGGCCACACCTTACTTCCTTCTCCTGTAGTGTCCTCTTAGGATGTGGAGCATGCACACACATGTTCCAGTGTGATTTTCAAGCTGCTGGGTCTGGGACTCCAACTGCGATCAGCCATGTGGGAGTCCAACACCTTAACCATTACACTACTTGCCGGCCCCTTCCTCATTTTTCCTTTCATTGAATGAAGTAGAGAGTGCTTTAGTTGTTTAGAGATTTCGTTATTTGCTTTGAATTCATATCAATTCAGTGTATGTGTATTGGGTGCTGATTTTGTTCTAATAGGTAAAATGGTGAGTAAACCACAGTTCTCCAGTCTTGAGTGGCTACAATATTTATGAATACAGGTAATGCAACATTGTGATCCCTTTGTTAGGAAAATAGATGACTACACACAGTGGAGGCTAAGAGCTTTTGTTTTTAGGCTATCTAATTCATTTTAAATTTTATTTGGAACAGCACATATGGTAGTGGCGTATCAAACTTGGTTCAAGGTTGGAAGTGAGACCTTGAACTATCAATAGATAACATAAAAGACTGATTTGGAATGTTTACTTAAGTAGAAACATAAGAATATGTCATAGGCCATGAAAACTGATATATATATATAAATATATATATGTATATGTATACATATATATATGTATATGTATATGTGTGTGTATATATATATATATATATATACACACACATATATATATGAGAGGTTTTTGCTATAGGGCATGTGCACTCGCCAGAAAGACAGAGAGAGACAGAGAGACAGAAAGCGAGAAATTATCCTCCTCCCGGGGGGATGGCCACGCCGCAATCCCTTCTCCTCCATTCTCCTCTCGGGATCTTGAGCACACATGCACATGCACCTGGTTTGAGTTTAAGCCACCAGGTCCGGGACTCAAACAGAGGTCGATTACATGAGAGTCCAGCGACATAGCCATTAGGCCAACTGCTGGTCCCTTGTTTTTGTTTTTTAAACATATCGAGTGTGATTAGACTTTGGGACATTAACAGAAAGATGCCCAGTCTGGACTTGAAAGTAAGGATCTGAGCCCAAAGAGGTACATCTGGGGTTGGAGGTAGAATCCTTTCGGTTGTTGATACAGAGGGCTGCTGTTAAATCATGAGTGAGTGGGTTTTGTAAAGTAAGGCATGCAGAATTGCAGGATGAAGTATTCATCTTTCAGCATCCTTCAGTCTTTTCCTTCTAGTGAACTTTAGAATTTAAATTGCTTTGAAATTATTAGGTCATCTGGGGCTAGCAGGTTACATAGTGGTTAGAGGTGCTAAACTCCCACATGGTCGACCACGGTTCAAGTCCCAGACCTGGCAGCTTGTTTTCTCTCTTTCTTTGCCACCCACCCCAAACCCCTCCTGGTCAAATCTAAATAAATAAATAAATAAATAAATTTCTTAAAAAAAGTTATTAGGTCATCAGGAAAGTCATGAAGTATGTATGTTTCCATGTCTTTCTATACAAAAATGCATCATGACTTTTTAAAAATTATTATTAATTAATTTATGTACAATCATTCACTATACATCAATACAGTATATAAAATGAAATTTTCCATCCAATATACATTGCATATTGGCTCAGTTAAGGATATTACCATACATGTTATCATCAACAAATAATTTTCTATTTCTTGCCTCTTATATATTTTGCTTTTTGCTTTGGTCTACCCCTCCCTTGACTCCCCAACTTTCACCCTCTGCCAACTCCTCCTCTTTTCCCACACTGTCTCTGCTTTATATATAGTTGTTTTCCATGGTATTTTTTTTTTCATATTTTATTGATTCACTAAAGATCTTAATTAATTTAAAGACTTTCAATATCAAGCACAGCTAATATATACATATTGAGGAACACATGTCTGACTTTAGGCATAAACCTCAGTGAGTAAAGTGCACATACTATAAAGTAGCACCTTGCTGGGGCTATATAGCTTACTGCAGTCATTAAATAGGCATTAATAGGTATTTTTTCATGTTTTTTTAATTTCAAAAAAAGTTTTAGTTTTAATAGATCAAAATAAAAAATGTTAAGAGAAATTTGCTTACAACTTAAAGCCAGGAAAAAGGTTAGGATTCAGTTCAAATAGTAGGTAGATGGCCCTATCAACAGTTGAAGAGAAGACAAAAATCCTTAAATATGGAAATCAAAGCATCAAAGAAAATCAGTAATGGTTTAGTCTAAAGTAAAAACATTATATTTCACTCGTTCAGACTCACATAATTAATCTCTTTTCTATTGAATTTGCAGAGTTACTGTGGTTTGATCTTTCCATTTAAATTCTGGAAGTTAACATTCAACTCTGGACTTGTCCCCACCATTAGGCTGGCCATTTTCTTGGCTGTTTTTTGTACTATTATTTCTGTGTGTCTGACTTTAGTTTTCCTGGTATAGCACTCCCTTCAGCACATTTTGGAGAGCTAGTCTGATGTTGGTAAATTCTTTCAGGTTTTGTTTATCTGAGTGTTGTCTTTTTTTTTTTCCATATGAAAGATAATCTTGCTGAGTACAATATTCTTGGTTGAAATTGTTTATCCCTTAACACTTTGAATATATGTTCCCATTCTTTCCTTGCTTGCATTGTTTCCTATGAGAGGTCCAACGTTAGGCTGATGGGATATCCTTTGAAAGTAACTTGATGTTTCTTTCTTGCCAATTTTAGTATCTTGTCTCTGTCTGTGGTTTTGTCCAATCTGGCTATGATGTACCTTGGAGAAGATCTTGGATTCACTCTATGTGGGGTCCTTTGTATTTCCTGGCTCTGGATATTTGAATGCCTCTCTAGGTTTGGGAAGTTTTCTTCCAGGATTTCATGGAATGGATTATCAATGCCCTTACTAGTTTCTTCATCTTTTGGGAGACTGATAATCCGGATGTTTGAGCGTTTAATGGTATCTGGTATTATTCATATGTTATTCTAATTTGGGGGGGTATTTTCTCAGTCTTTATGAAATTTTCTAGGTCAGAGGTTCTATTTTCTACAGCTGAGATTCGATTTTCTGTATGATCTAATATGTTTTTGATATTTTCAGTGGAAGTTTTGATTTCCTGTATTATAGCCTTCAT